CCTGAGGGAATACCTGAGGAAGCGCGGGCGAGAGGTGTACTACCAGAAGCGGGTGAGTGGCCATCGATAGAATGGGAGGTGAGAGGGGAGATTGAAGGGCCACGGTTAAAGCAGTAATGCTACCTGCTCACCAACTGACAGTAGGGGCCCTCGCTCCCTGCGCCGACTCCATTGACAGCCTGCGGGAGTACCTGCGGAAGCGCGGGCGAGAGGTCTACTACCAGAAGCGGGTGAGTGTTATCTACCAATTGGGAGGTGAGAGGGGAGGTGGTAGAGATAAAGGAGCAGAGGCAGTACTGCTACCTGCTCTTCAAACTCTCCCCTGAGGCCCTCACTCTCCACACCGGAGAAGAATCTGCAGGGATTGTGGGTACGCACAGAGTGACTGCCTTTTTTAGTACAAGATCTCGAGGAATCAACCTCTCCTCACATGCATCTCCTCCCTAGCCCTCTCATCTACCCAGGAGGAGGTGCAGAAGATAGTTCCTGGGTCGATGAAAGACACGCTCTCCCAGACGGACAACCTGTGGAAGGAGGAGCACCTGCAGGCACACTCTCTCACCTCCTCCCCTGATTTCCCTTTTCTTCCTCTCTGATAATGAGCCCAGGAGGACCCGGGGGTTGTGAAGGATGCGGGGCATTATTTCGGGCTCTCGCAGACGGACAACCTGTGGAAGGAGCACCTGCAGGCACACTCTCTCACCTCCACCCCTGATTTCCCTTCCCCTCTCTGCCTGATGTTTCCAGGAGGAAGTTGAGAAAACCGTTCCAGGGCTGATGAAGGATGCAGAGCGTTATTTCGTGCTGTCCCAGACGGACAACATGTGGAAGGAGCACCTGCAGGCCCTCAAGTTCCCACTTCTAATCGTGGTTTCCCTTCCCGTGTTCTGTGCTTACAGGAGGAGGTTGAGAAGATAGTACCGGGGTTGATGAAGGACGCGGAGCGCTACTTTGTGCTGTCCCAGACGGACAACCTGTGGAAGGAGCATCTGCAGGCCCTCAAGTTTGCGCAGCAGGCGGTGGGGCTGCGAGGGTACGCACAGAAGGACCCGCTGATAGAGTACAAGCTGGAGGGGTACAACCTCTTCCTCTCCATGATGGCCCAGATCCGCCGCAATGTCATCTACTCGGTCTACCAGGTGGGTTACGTGTCATCTACTCGGTGTACCAGGTGGGTTACGTGTCATCTGGGATATACCTGTGCAACGAGACGAGTTACTCGCTCGGTATCGCCCGAGTTACTCGTTTGGGTGCGAGTAACGAGTTTCGGTTTTTGTAAATTTTACTCGGGCGAGTCGAGCCGAGTTTTACTCGCCGAGTTTTTTTTGCTACCCTGGGCTACCCAAGGCTACCCTGGGCTACCCAGGGCAACCCAGGGCTTTCCTGGGCTTCCCTAGGCTTCCTGGGACCACCTTGGGTTTACCTGGGCGGCCCTGGAAACCCCAATACTTCCGTGGTACCAATGGCCTTCACTAGTTGTTATGTACAGAGTCGTTCTATGCAGGAGTAGGGCACATGGCCGAGCATTACTCGTACTCGGACGAGCTTTTCTAAATGCTCGCCCGAGTTCCCTTTTATAAGGCGAGTAACGAGTTTCTGTTTGGTGTAAAAATGCTCGGTCGAGTATTACTCGACTCGGGCTCGTACTCGGCCGAGCAAGGCTAGGGACGAGTCGAGCATTACTCGGCTCGCCCTTTTGCACAGGTATAATTTGGGATGTGTATCAGGTTCTTTACGTGTCGTCTGGTTCGCTTCACATGTGGATTCCCTTCCATCTGGTTCATTTATTGGGGGTCTGTATTATCTGGTCTGGTCCATCCAGTTGGTGGTTCCATGTCACCCATTCACCTGAAGCGTGTTAGATTTTGATCACATGCCAGGTTGATGTCATCTCATCATGGTTCTGTTCTGACTTCTCTCTGGTTCTGGCTGAATTCCGTGGCTGCCAATCTGTTTGTGCTGTGTGCAGTTCAAGCCTGTTATGGCGAAGCAACCTGATTTGGTCAACGTGGCCAACGGTGGTGCAGCAGCAGCAGCAGTCCCTGCTGCGACCGAGGCATCCCAAGCATCAGAGTCCACAGGAGCAGCTGCAATAATAGAACCAGTAGCAACAGAAGCAGCAGGAGCAGCAGAAGCAGCAGAAGCAGCAGACGCAGCAGGAGAAGAAGAAGCAAAATCTGAGGGAGAGGGTGGGGCTGAAGCTGCAACAAATGCAGGAGCAGGGCCCACGGGAGGGAGGGGTGGGCAGCGGAGGGGAGGACAGAAGGGTCGTCAGCGTGCAGGGAAAAAGGTTACCGCTAGGTCTAAGAGCACGTGAGCGTGTGGTGTAGTTGTTATGGCGAGTGTGTTCTACCTTTGTCGCTTCTTTTGTTCTGGTGAATATTAATCTCACATTGTGTACAATTACTTCATAACGATTTTGCGTGAATAAGCTGTCAGTTTGAACCAAATGCCTTCCTTGCTGAGGTAGTGGTTATGGGTTTTATCCATCACCATCTCGGTGTTTCTCCATGACATTCTATATCGCGCGACTTCGGGTCACTGTCAGCGTCATCCAAGGCGTGGTCGCCGGAATCACCCCAAACCCTTCCAAATGGCGCGCCAATAGAAATTCTGAACGAAGATTGCCCATCATTCTGACCAGGCTTCACACGGACAGCTGAGGGTCACGTGGGTGACTCCTCCGTTGCCCAAATACCAATCTCGACTCGACTATGAGGATGCCCCTCCAATCACGGTGAGATTGCATCTTGGCTCTAAATTCGTTTCGATGGAAAATGAACTCGGAAAAATATTGTTCTCTCCTCTGGCGAACCTGTGGGGTTATCGAACAAACTATCCTCTCTCAACTCACCCCACCGTTGCCCATCCCACATTACCCCATTTGAAGAACAGAATTATTCCACATTCAGCCCGTCCAAGAATTCCGGTCCGCGGAATCATCATCAACGTGTCGCGGAAATCCGAAAAAGCGCAACGGTAGTGGGTGCTGCTTGTTCTGTTCTCTGCCGGTAATTGCGGGAAGCCGCGTCAGCAAAGCGTCACACCCACATGTCCTTTGCTGAATCTCTGCAACCCTTCTCGCCTCTCAGGCTCTCACCTCAACCCTCCCTGCTCTGCTTGCCCCCCTTCTCTCCATTTCAAGCTCTCCACTCCAACTACCAAGACACTGTCCGTCTTCATCAGCTTGAAACTGAGAATTTAGACAGCACCAGAATCTATATGCGTTTCCTCGCTAAGTGTCTTCAGGCGACATCAATCGACTTTTGAATGCTGTCTGGTCGCCCTGCATACTTCGCCTGAATTTGAGCTGTCTCCCTAACCATGGATCCGTCTGCCATGGAGCTTCAGGAGTTTTACCACGGTGCGGCCTGCCAATTCGAGTCGAGGCGTAGTTCATTGTTCGAGGCCGGACAGATTTGGGACGTCGGTGCTGCTGTATTAGGAGGCTTCGTTCCCGGTGTCGTTCTCGTTAAATGTGTAGCTGTCGCTGGAGCGCTCACATTCTCGTCATGGTGCGCCGCGATTGTAGTAACAGCGGCTGCACTCCAGCGGATACACAGTGAGTCGATGTTATCCTTTTCGTTCCATCAGTTGCCTACACCCCGCGCTCTCGTTCCCTGACCCATTCGCGTTTGTGATCCTGTGTCTTTCTTACATTATAGCTGTCATAGGTCTGTTCGAGAATTTTGGCGTTGCTTTGTCATGACATGGCTCTTAACAGCCTTTCTCTTACCATGTGCAGGCTCTACCATGTCAGACGACATGGATGGCTTCTCCCACTGAGTATCGTGGAGGAATATACTAATTTCCTGCGCTGACCTACTAACCTTCTACTAACATACCTCCCGAGATGCCATCTCGTTAGAAGCCGTTGGAGCGATGGCATTGCTCCGCGAGCCAATTTTCGTAACATACTGTCACTGTTCATAATACATGGGAGCGTCAATGCGATAGCTCAAATGCTAATGTAAATTATACCATTCCAGCATCATTTGGTTATTGTGCAAGGCAATGAGTACATACTTGTAGAATGATTCATCTTGCGGAGCAATTTGGAAGGGATATGGGATATGGGAGGATGGGGATGTAGGGGCAGTGGAACAGCAACCACATACATACTGTTCCTCACGTACCAGTGCAGTAACACATCTGAAAAGCTATACCTGCCACATACACATACAGCAGTCCCTGATGTACCGTATCTTCGTGGAGCAGTTCAGGGAAAGGTAAGGGACGGAAAGCAGCAGAGGGGAGCAATGATATATGTGGGACAAGTGAGTGAAGAGGTTATAAGGATACCTGATTCGGATTGTTAGCCATTTCCCTAAAGCCTACTCTGAAGCAGGTTCTGCTGCGGTAGTGCTGACTTCGGGCGCAAGTACCTTGTGCAGCTGCATTGGTGAAGCATTGAATCGGAAGCTTGAAATGAGCTGCGAAGGTGTGAGAGAGGTGTGAGTGAAAGTATGGTGCCGCTGTGCAGCAAGTGATGTACTGGTAGAGAGGAATGCTTCTTGCTTTCAGCAGCTGGGGGGTTACGGGAAATGGCAATAACTTGTGCTTCCTTGCAGCATGAAGGTCACCCATTGTGCTGGTTTCGTACGGTGGGTGTACGGAGTGCCTGATTTCCTCCAACCAGCACCTTCAACTGGGTGACTACATGGTTGGACCCCCTATCCCTCGCATGGCGCCAACGAATGCAAGTAATATGTTGCGGCGAAACGTGAACGGACGGTCCGCTGTAGCGTTGCCCATCCACATGAAAGAATGTGTTTCAAACTGTTAAAGTGATTGGAGCTAAGCTCGTTCTAGCGCAGATCGGGCCCACTCCGCCTCTCTTCCGCCATCCCTAATTCCTCAACACTCAATGGCTTTCTCGAGCAGAAGTCCACCTGCTCTCTTCTCACTCTTGTCCAGTGGAGATTATAGACAGGACCCTGGCATCGCTTCACATGTGAGCGTAAGATGCTATACCACCAACTGGCGATCGGGGCCAGTATTTATTTATTCCTTTCTGTGGCCGCACGAATAAGGAGGAAGTCAACCATTTCTTCGGTTCCCCACTCTGCAAGCACAAAGAAAATACCAACAGCGTGAACGTGGAAGGCTCCATCAATAACACTGTGAACAATCAACATCTAGTTGCATCCAAGCTCTTCGATATCACCTGCACATGCTTTGCAATCAGTGCAACACAAACCTCTTTCCTAACTCTTCGATGTCACCTGCACTTAGCAATCAGTGCATACTTCAACTCAAACCATTGCATTATTTTTGTGTCACCTCAAAGTCGCCTTCAACACAACCTTTTTGTGTCATCGCATAGGCACAACATTCCAGACCAGAATCAAACGCAAGTCTACGTCCTTACATCAGATCAGATCCATCCGAACCCAAACCCAGCGTCTATATTCAAATCAAAACCATCCCGTCTGGCATCCACCAGCCACTAATACCTTGCTTCTACCACTGCCATGACTTTTCAGTCGACTCGAAAACCATTCCGTGTGGCATCCATCATCCATCAGCCACGAATACCTTGCTTCTAACACTGCCATCAGCACATGTGCAAATCCATCCATATGAGAACACGCCTACAACACTACCATACTCACCCTGCTCCCCCAAGGTGTCTTGATGCCACCTCAATGCCAACTCACTGCCACCACAATGCCACCTCACTGCCACCTCAATGCCACCTCACTGCCACCTCACTGCCACCTCACTGCCACCTCACTGCCACCTCACTGCCACCTCACTGCCACCTCACTGCCACCTCACTGCCACCCCAAAGCCACTTCGCCTGCGCACCTTGAGCATACTCGAGAGCATTTCCCTTGTCATCGCTGGTGGCGTACAGGTCAGCACCGGCATCCAATAGCATGCGAGCAACGTCCAGGTTGCCCTTTATGCACGCAAACTGAAGAAGGGAGGTGCAGAAGCAACATTTGAGGCATAAAACTGACAGAGGGAGGGGCAGAAGCAACATTTGAGGCATAAAACTGAGAGAGGGAGGGGCAGAAGCAACATTTGAGGCATAAAACTGAGAGAGGGAGGGGCAGAAGCAACATTTGAGGCATAAAACTGAGAGAGGGAGGGGCAGAAGCGACATTTGAATCGACTCAAAAGGCATGCGAGCAACGTCCAAGTTGCCCTTCAGGCACGCTAACTGAGAAAGGGAAGGGGAGAGATATTCCAATCGTCGTTGGTGGTGAGAGTATATGATTTCTAGGCACGTTAGAAACAATTGGACGAGGCATAGTATTAGACGAGGCATAGTATTGGACGAGGCATAGTAAAGAGGGTTTCCCATGATGGTGGGAAGAGGAAGGCGGTGGGATGATGTAACCAAACCACAGGTAGCAAACCGCAATCATATGAATACAGGCAGGGATGCAATTATGATACTGCAACCTAGAGTGCTAGTATGCAATTTATCTCATGCGGGGTTATCAATCTGTAGGTCTTCCAAACCTGCAGCGGAGTATTCCCGGTGCTGTTCCGAGCGTCGGTGTCAGCTCCGGCAGTCAGAAGCACCTGGACGACCTCTGGATGCTCGTAGAAAGCCGCCAGGTGCAACGCTGCAGGGGAGGGGGGGGGGGAGAGTGGGTTTGAGGCGCCTAAAAAATAGAAGCACCTGGACGACCTCTGGATGCTCGTAGAAAGCCGCTAGGTGCAAATCTGCAGAGGGGGGGCGTGGGTGTGTGGGGGGGGGAGAAGAGGGGGGTGTTGAGGCGCCTAAAAAATAGAAGCACCTGGACGATGCCTGTAGAACGCCGCCAGGTGCAAAGCTGCAGGGGGTGTGGTGGGGGGGGGGATGGGGTGATGGGGGGGGGGGTTGTAAAATGCCATGGAAGCTCATATGATCCATACAGAATGACTCGCCCTAAAAGAATGATGTAGGATGGACGTTTTACGGTGATTGGTAGGTAGGAAAACGTGCTCGATCCGATTGTCGAATGATCAAGCCCCCGTGCAATGCAATGCACTCCCATAAATGTTGAACCCCATGCGTTGCAATGATTACAAACCCGTACTCTCATGCTACCAGCCCGTACCCTGGTGTTACCAGTCCGTACCCTGGTGTTACCAGCCCGTACCCTGGTGTTACCAGCCTGTACCCTGGTGTTACCAGCTGTCCTCGCGTGTTACCAGCAGCATGTACTCACATGTTATCAGCCTGTGCGCAACCGTTACTATCCTGTACGAACTAGATAACATTATATTTGTTTTCAAGGGTTACCTGTCCAGCCGGATCGTTCAGGACTAGGTAAATTAATGTCGACACCTCCGCCGGCCAATAGCAGCTTCACCGCAGCAACGTCGCCCTCCTTAGCCGCGTCTTTAATCGCCTCGTTCACGTCCCCGACAGAAGCAGACGCGACAATAGTGGTGCCTGCATTCGCCGCTGCTACTCGGCATCCGTACGGCCAGCCTGTAGTGAGTTGTCGCGATCGCAGCGAGCGAGAAACACACGGAGAGTGGGTACGAGATGGGAACGTCGTCGCACGCGTGAACGAAGAAGCGGCGACGCGAGTTACGTGGGGAGGAGAAGGGAACTGCTGCTGGCTGCTAGTGGCTCTCGACTGGCACGCGACGACGCGAGACACGAAAGCTGCTTGCGTGGACGAGTAGGAGACCAGAGAAACAGCAGGAGCCGCCATTGTGCTAACGATTCTAGGGGTCAAGGAAGGTGATCAAGCTGATCAAGTAAAACTACCCGCGTTAGTAACAGACCACGTGCTTCTATAACAAGCCTTCGTTGCAATGTAAGCTCTATGTGAACGAAGATAGGCGTTACATTACATTTTATAGAAGAAATTTCCCTGGTGTTTGTCACCCACACCTTGCTTGCTGTACGGATCGCATCACACGCGCGGAACTGCTTTTTCACGGTCGAGACTGGATGCATACAAAAACTTACCACAGAAAAAAACAAGTTTGATGATTATCATACCAAGTTCATGTGCAATTTTGATGGCGCTGGACGCTGGAAAAGAAAGTTTAGCGAAGATTTGCGGGCAGATTCCTGCCCGGTCCCAGCCACATTCTTCGTGGAAACCGACTTGTTGGTAACGGACCCTGTACGGTTTCATGGCCAATCTCGACACCTCTGCCCTCAGGTTTGCCTGATGCAATGTTGATGCACTGAAACATTCCGTTCTGTACCGTTCAATATGCCTTTGAGACTGCACTGGACCGACTAAAATTGAACAGGTTACGTATGTCGTAAGCCGCGACCGCATTCCAACCAAGAGCCCTGATTCGTCCCTCACTCACGGCCTTGGAAACTCCACAGTGGTGCTACGGTCCACCACCCATGAGAAAGCTTGAAGAGCTCGGATAATTTTTAGACCGTGTTTTGAGTTTGTGGTGCTATGCGTAAGTGATTGGCTAAAGGGTGATGATAATAATGGACTGATGTAAATGCCATCCAAAGCCGTTCCCCATTCACGAACGATGCTGTCCTAGGTATGGACGATGAGAATTGAGCGGACTCGATAATCATCCATGCGATCCTAGAAGCTATGGACGAGTTATGGGTGGAGTCGCCACGCGCGGATGACGACAACCCTAACAACCCCGATTTCCATTCCGCTCCACTATACCTACAGAACAATGACCAATCCTACCAGCAGCACCAACAAAACCATGGCGGAGCATTTAATAACGGGGACGACGGGTACGATGACTCGCTTCAGTCCCCCACAATGCCCGCCGGATGCGCCGTTAATTTCCTCAAGTCGTCCAATCCGAGTCGCCAGCGCTCCGGCAGTGTGCGGCAGCGCGTGTGGAACAAGGTCCAACGCGCCACGTCGCTTTCCGCCATGGATTTCCAGACCTTCGTGCGCTCGCTCGCGCAGGACCCGAAGCCCGCGCATTCATTCAAGCCGTCCAGCGGCGGGGAAGGCGGAGAGGCGCGCGGAGGCGCGCAGCAGGTGCGCGGCGAAGAGGCTGCCGGCGCAGCAGCGCAGACGGCGGAAGATTCGTTCTTTACCAGGCTAGAAGTCCCCGCGGATAGAGATTTCTCCGCGGCGGCCAGCCCCGCAGCTCCCGCCGATGCTTCCCACGTGGGGCTCTCGCGCGGGAGCGCCGGTAGCCGGTCCGCTGGCGTCGGATCGCACTGGGGCCTGGCGCGTTCCGCGTCCGACGCGCTGCATCAGATGTTCGGGGGCTCCGGGGGTGGCGGCGGGGGAAGCGGTGCGGGTGGCGCGGGGGGAAACACTGCGGACGATGGGAGGGAACCGGGGGAAGCCAGTGGCGGAAGCCAGCGGGGAGCAGCGGTGAGGAACCATGGGGCTAGCGGAAGGGGAAGCGGCGGTTCCGCTGGGAGAAGCGCAAGTTCTGGGGGGAGTGTTTTTCTACCGTTGAACCAAACTCCGAACCAGACTCCCCAGGGACCTTCATATTCGCGCCAGCGGAGCTTTTCCGCCAGTGGCGCAGGTTTTTCCGCCATCCCTTCCGCCAGCCCTTCCGCCAGCCCGTACGCTAGCCCTTACGCTAGCCCGTACGCTGGTCCTGCTGCTTCCGCGGCCGCCCCTTCCTCCTCCGCCTCTCCCTACGGCGGAGGGCTGGGGGGCTCGGGCGGAGGGTTAGGCTCCTCAGGCGGAAAGGGCGCAAGTTTCGCGGGGCCGAAAGCAGGGCCTCCGTTGCCTTTATCGAGGTCCGCTATAGCGAGGTTTAGGCTTCCGCGCATGGCGTCAGAGAGCGGGCGAAGGCACAGGGCGTGGCAGGCTGACCTGGAGGAGGACGATGGGGAGCCGCTAGAGGGGGAGGTGGTATCTGATCCGGTGGGATCTAATGTGGCGGGATCTGGGGCAGGCGTGTCCTCTGCTGATGGGGTGAATAACGGTGGGGGAAGTATTGGTGGGGGGAATTTCGGTGCGGGGAGTTTCAATGGGGGAAGTTATGATGCAGGGCAGAGAGGTGGAGGAGGGAGGTCAGGGTCGGAAGGAGGCGCGGATGGTTTCAAGAGCCAGTCAACGCGGTCAATGCAGTCAATGCGGCCTGGGTCCTGGTCAGAGAGGCCCAGGGCGACTTTTGAGACGCCTCAGGGGTCAGAAGGAGGAGCAGATGGTTTCAAGAGCCAGTCAACGTCTGTAGGGGGTGGTGCTGCTGCTTCTGCTGCTGCTGGCGGCTTTCAGGAGTTCGCCAATGGAGCCCTTCACACGTCCGGATTTGAGCAGACGGGCGCAGGAGACAGTGGGGCCGCAGCGAGTACTCAGCAGGCGCAGGTACAGCAGCAGGCGCAGCTACAGCAGCAGCAGGCGCAGCAGCAACATGCACGGGCACAGGGCCCCAGCAATGCAGCAAGCCCAGACGCGGAGATTCTCGTGATCGACCCGGGAAAGGAGTGGCAGCAGCAGCAAAGCACAGGCGCACAGCAAAGCACAGGCGCTCAGCAGCAGGCGCTGGCAGGCGGATCTCAGCCGTCCGTGCAGCAGGCAGCCGGCGGATCTCGGCCGTCCACGGGCACAGGCTCGCGGGCGACTGCCGTGGCGTATGTGAGCAAGTTTGAGGAGTACAGGCGGCGACTGGCGGAGCAGCAGCAGCAGCTACAGCAGCAGCATGGGGTAGTAGGGGTGGGGCCAGGGCAGGGGGGAAGGAACCGAGGAGGTGGTGGTAGGGGCGTTCCCAGAAGTGCGTCTCATGACCCTTTCACTGATAGGTCGTGGCAGGGGCGAGGAGAGGAGAGCTCAGAAGCTAGCGCTGGTACGGGTCTTACTGGCGCTAGTGCTGGCTTTGCTGGTGATGGGTTCGATGATGCTCTTGGGGAGAGCAGTGCCGCTGGTGGTTCTGGTGATCCAGGTGCGGCTGTGGGCGGTGGTTTGGGTGGTGGGAGTGGTGGGTTTACCGGGGGTGGTGAAGGGAATAGGGGGATGAGGCAGGGATATGGCACTTACAGGGGCTCGCCAGCAGCAGCTAGGGGAGGGGGACGAGCAGGCGGCAGGATGGGGGGCAGGGCGGACGGCAGAGCGGGCAGCAGGGCGGGCGGCAGGGCCGGTGGGGCGTTTATAATGCGGTCGGCATCGCTCGGCAACGCTGGGGATTTCATGGGGCAGCTGGAGGGGGATGACGTGGACGCTGACGTGGATGGAGATGTAGATGACTCAGGTGGGGGCTTACCTGGGGGTGTGGAGGCTGGGCAAGGTCAGGAGTGGAGTAAGGGTGGCACGGGGAGTGTGGCAATGGGCGATGGGGTTACCACAGGGGTTACCACAGGTGCTGTAGGGCCCAGGGCTGCTGGTTCTTCTGTGTCAGCAGCCGGGGTAAGTAGTGACCGGCTGGGCAGCCGGGGTAGAGGTAGGGGTCGGGGTGGTGGTAGGGGTAGCGGTGGTGCTGCTGCTGGTCGAGCCTCAGGCTCTCCGTCTGCTACTCTCTCTCTTCGGAACTATGAGAAGTTCCGACCCTCATCAGCAGGAGCAGGAGGAGGAGCAGCAGCCGAACCACCCTCCTCTTCAGTGCAATTCCTCTCAGGATCAGGAGAAGGCGGGGAGGAGGAGGATGAGGGGCTGGCGACTGTAGCTGCAACTTCCCACGCCCCTGGTGCCTCTAGAAGAGCTGGTTACAGCAGTAGCAGCGGTCGTGGTGGTGGTGGCTCTGGTGGTGGTTTCATTGCTGGTGGTGTTGCTGCTGGTGCTGCTCCTGGCACTGGGCGTGGTCGGGGTAACCCTAACTCTGCCCCGGGTAACCGCCGACTGCTGCGGCGGCACACCGACGATCCAACACAGCTGAACCGCGTTCAGACGCCCGACGCGCTCTCGTCCTTTCCTGCCGTGCCGTCCCGCCTTGGCCCGGGGAACCTCCAGCGTACCTCGTCCTCTGCCGCCCACCGGCCTTCCTCTGCCGCCCAGCGACCTTCAGCTGCCGCCCAGCGGTCTTCCGCTGCCGCCCAGCGGCCTTCTTCTGCCACCCAGCGACCCTCCTCTGCCGCCCAGCGGCCCTCTTTGTCCTCTTCTGGGCGGCAGCAGGAATTCAGAGACCAAGGGCCGATGCAGCAGCAGGGGCAGATGCAGGAGCAGATTCAGTATCAAGGGCAGATGCAGCTACAAGGGCAGGGGCAGGGGCAGGGGCAGGCACAGGAGCAGATGCAACAGCAGGGGCAGATGCAGGGGCAGGGGCAGATGCAGCAGCAGGGGCAGATGCAGCTGCAAGGGCAGGGGCAGGGGCAGGGACAGGGACAGATGCAAAGGCAGGGGCAGGGGCAGATGCAGGGGCAGGGGCAGATGCAGCTGCAAGGGCAGGGGCAGGGGCAGGCACAGGGACAGATGCAAAGGCAGGGGCAGGGGCAGATGCAGGGGCATGGGCAGATGCAGCAGCAGCACGGGCAGATGCAGCATCAGGGGCAGATGCAGCATCAAGGGCAGATGCAGCATCAGGGGCAGATGCAGCATCAGGGGCAAATGCAGCAGCTGGGGCAGATGCAGCATCAGGGGCAGATGCAGCATCAGGGGCAAATGCAGCAGCTGGGGCAGATGCAGCAGCAGGGGCAGATGCAGCAGCAGCAGGGGCAGATGCAGCAGCAGGGGCAGATGCAGCAGCAGGGGCAGATGCAGCAGCAGGGGCAGATGCAGCAGCAGGGGCGGATGCAGCAGCAGGGGCAGATGCAGCAGCAGGGGCAGATGCAGCAGCAGGGGCAGATGCAGCAGCAGGGGCAGATGCAGCAGCAGGGGCAGATGCAGCAGCAGGGGCAGATGCAGCAGCAGGGGCAGATGCAGCAGCAGAGGCAGGCAAGAGGTCAAGGGCCGTCAGTGTCCTCCTCGCCCCTGCGACAGCGCCCGAGCCCCTCTCCTTCAATCAACGGTTCTGATTCCTCTGAAGAGCACCAGGTACGTCAACAGCCCGCCACATCCCCCTCCTCCCCGCTCCGGGCCAGGCCTGGCCCTTCCTCCCCGTCCGAAAGCCCTTATCCGAGGCAAGAAGAGAAGATTTCCCGTCCCTCCACCTCCCCGCTCCGGACCAGGCCAAGCCCTTCCGCCGCATCCGAAGGTCTTGATGTGACACAAGAAGATCAGATTCTACTCCGGCCCTCCACCTCGTCCTCCTCTTCCTCCCCGGTTCGGCCGGGGCTGGATGCGCCTCCCAAGCGCCGGGCCTTGTCAGGCCCCCTGCAGGCCCGTGCTGGCCGCAGCTCTGCTTCTACCCTCCCTGCTGCCAATGCTGTCGCTGGCAACGCTGGCAGCAGCAGCAGCACTACCAGCAGCAGCAGCAGCGGCGGCAGCAGCAGTAGCAGCAGCAGTGGCAGCAGCAGCAGCAGCACTGGCAGCATCATTAACAGCAGCAGTGGCAGCACCAGCAGCAGCAACAGCAGCAGCAGCAACACTAACAGTAGCAGCAGCAGTTACAGGGCCCAAAGGCCGGGCCCAGTGGCATGCCCCCCTCGTGCATCTCCCAATCAGCTCTTCAACCAACAGAGCCCCAAAAGCCAGGCTTTAAGCCCTCACAACCAGACTGCAATCCGCTCTCCCTCTGCCAGAAGCCCTCGTGCCGGCCTGCCCCCTCCTCCTACCCCTCCCTTGCGCTCTCCGTCCGCTCGTTCTCCGCTTTCTCCTCTTTCTTCCCCTCTTTCTCGGGATAAGCTGGCCTCACAGCGGTTAGAGCAGAGGCCCCCACTGTCGCCACTTTCACCACAGCAGGGGCAGCAGCAACAGCAGCTGATGCAGCAGTCGCAGCAGCCGTGGCAACAGCAGGGCCAGCTGCTGCAGGGGCAGCAGCAGGGGCAGCAGCAGGGGCAGCAGCAGGGGGGGCAGGGGCAGCAGCAGCCGTGGCAGCAGCAAGGACAGCAGCCACAGCAGCCCACCTCTCCTCAAAGCATTGCCGTGCACCATGCCCCCCCCTCCAGCCCTATACAAGCACTCGTCCAATACCCCACCACCAGCCCTGTTCAAACACTTATGCAGCATGTGCCTGCTAGCCCCTCCCAGAGTGTGTATGGGCCGGTTGAGATGCAGCATATGCCTGAACATGCTCCCCTGCATTCTCCCTTGCGCTCTCCACACACGCTCACTCACTCCCCCCATTCGCCCCTTCATTCTCCCCGTGCTCCCATGCAACCCCCACATTCGCCCATGCACTCCCCCCGTGCTCCCATGCACTCCCCACGTGCTGCCCCACACTCCCCCCATGCGCCCATGCATTCCCCCCATGCGCCCAGGAACTCCCCCCGTGCTGCCCCACTCTCCCCCCATGCGCCCATGCACTCCCCCCACGCGCCCATGCACTCCCCCCATTCGCCCATGCACTCCCCACGTGCTGCCCCACTCTCCCCTCATGCGCCCATGCACTCCCCCCACGCGCCCATGCAGTCCTCCCATTCGCCCATGCACTCTCCCCACGCGCCCATGCACTCCCCACATGCGCCCATGCACTCCCCACATGCGCCCATGCACTCCCCCCATGCGCCCATGCACTCCCCACATGCGCCTATGCACTCCCCACATGCGCCCATGCACTCCCCCCATGCGCACATGCACTCCCCACATGCTGTCCCACACTCCCCCCACGCTCCTATGCACTCCCCCCATGGTCTCACCCACGCCCCCCATTCCCCCCTTCACTCCCCCCATGCGCCTATGCACTCCCCTCATGCTGCCCCACTCTCCCCCCACGCTCCCATGCACTCCCCCCATTCCCCCCTGTGGTCCCCCACACAAGGACTGCACCCCCCCCATTCCCCCCTTCACTCTCCCCATGCGCACTCCCCTTCCCACCCCATAGTCCCCCCCCACTCCCCCATGCGCTCTCCCCACCCAGCCCCTCCATATGACCAGCAACAGCCCGTCTCCCCCATCTCTTTTTCCCCCAACTCCTTTGCCCCCAACTCCTTCCCCCCCTCCTCCTCTTTCCCCAACTCCTCCTTCAATTCGGAGGCTCGGAAACCTCCCGAGGCTGGGCAACCGGCTAGGAAGCTCGGTGCGGCAGAGGAAAGCACACCCACACCTGCATTGGGCGGTGGAAGTGAGAGTATTGTGACTGTATTGGACTGTGATAGTGGCGACATGTTTTCGTTTGAGCAGGAGAGGCAGGAGGTGCCTGGTGTGGGGGTGAGCGTGCGTGCGAGGGAAGTGATGCGGGTACATGCTGACGAGGAGGAGAGTGATGGGAACCAGTTACAGCAGCAGCAGCAGTGGCAGCTGCAGCAAAAACAGCTGCTGCTGCAGCAGCGGCAGCAGCAGCAGCAGCAGCAACAGCAACAAGAACAACTGCAACAGCAACAGCATTTGCAACAACAACAACTACAACAACAACAGAAGCAGCAACTGCAACAGCAACAGTACCACCAGCAGCAACAAGCACAGCAGCAGCAGCAGCAGCAGCAGCAGCAGCAGCTACAAAGACACCAAGAGCAGCTGCAGCAGTTTTCACTCCTAACCTCCTCCACTGAGCCATTCCTTCCCACCTCTAACGCATTGTTCTATCCACCTTCTAACCAAACCCCCCAAGCCCTCCAAACCTCCCAAAGCCACACGCAGCAGCAGCACCCAGGAACCATCCCACACCTCTCCCCTCCTCCCTCTCACACACCCTCCGCTCCCTCCGACTCTCCTTCCTTCTCTCACGTCTCCCCTCCCCCCTCCTACTACGACCCTGCAAACCCCTCCCTTCCCTCCCATACCACTCACAACCGCTTTGCAAACCCACACAGTAGCGCGTACACCTCTGATCCTACCGCCTCCCCTCAGGACTCCTTGCCTCGCATGCACACCAACCCTCTGCACTACAGACGGCCTTACAACACCCACCTGCCCCGCCGCCCCCCTCGTCCCGTCCCGCCTCAGTCTAGAAATGCCCTGGCCGGCGGCGGAGGAGGGGGGTTTGCCTCAGCCAGACTTGGGAGTGGTAGTGCCCAGGCGGGTGCTTTGACTGGTCGCAGCACTTTCACTGTTGACTTCTGATGACTTTTTTATGACACTTGATGACTTCTGCCAACACACCCGATATTATTCCATTAATGTGAGCAACCCCCATCTGGGTTCATTGCCTTGCATGCACACCGATCCTCTCCACTACAGTCAGCCTTACGACACGCTCCTGCCTCGCCGCTGCCCCTCTCCCTGTCCCGCCTGAGTCTAGAAATGTGCTGGCTGCAGCAGCTGTTAGGGCAGCTGGAGGCGGGCTTGTTTTAGCCAGAATTGGGAGTTCCAATGCCCAGGTATCTATTCTCACTGTTGACTTTTGACATCCGACCTCATTCTAGAAACGCATTGCAGCAGCTGCAAGGGCTGGTGGAGGAGGACTTTCTGCAGTCAAAATCTGGATTGCAAGGCAGTGTGCAGGCTGGTGTATGACTGTTTGTTCGATTGTTGATTTGTGACTTGGCTTGAAAAGGTTCCCTACTTAATTTCAGGCAAAAGTGCCCCCCTAATGGCCAGAGTGTTGTTGCGGTGAACTGGGCTGTTCGATTTATTATTCTGCTGCTTATTATTTATGACCTCAAGGTTATACGATAATTGTAATACGTGCTGTCAGAACACTCTAGATGGTCAGTAAATCCCGGATTAATCGAGTGGGCTTGTTTCGGCAATACCGAGACCAGAATACCCCTTCGCTGACGTCATTCAAAGTGACAGTTCCAACGCCCAGTCTTTATAATGGGAGATCAAGTAGCTCCCTACGTCATTATTATTTGCAGGGAGTTTCTTCGTTAAATTACGACGGGCCACCTTGTTCGCGTCTCCATGCGGAGCATGGGAAATGAGTCGTGTTTTTAGTCAACTCAAAACACGCTTTATGTGGAGCATGGGGAATGTGAGACCCTGGCGATTCGATTCCTCACATGGCTCGAAGAGACGTTCGTTTCGAGGCGACTCGCTGTCGCCCGTCCTTTTCCGTCCTTCCGTTCAAGATTGAGTCGGTCTCAATCGGGATTGGACGTCCAGGATCATATCCGTTCTCAAATGTCTTAATCCGAGGCGTTCAGTTGATCCGGTCCCTTGCGATAGCTGGAAACGACGTTGTTCTGAGGCCCTCTGTCCCTCAATGGCACGCAATGCCTCTCAATAGCACTGTCGAACGAGATGACACTGCCGAGCTGGCTTGCGGTGCCTTACACGTTGATACGATGTCAGACTGCTGATGGTACTACCACATTCAGAGGAGATTCCTAAGACTCGACTGGACAGGATCGAGAGAGACCCATTCGAGGTTCTTCACACCACTTTGAGGTCACCTCAATGCATGGTACTACTAGGCGGGTCCCAAGGACCCAAGCCTGGAATAAGCGGTTCCACGACGGTCTCTGGGTCGATTCGCTCCGGCATATAGGAGGTACCTCTATACCTCTATCGCTCTGGGTAGCATAGTGCTGCAAAACCATAGTCCAGCTCCGGACCATCGGCTATGACTGCCAGTGGCGTGTCAAGTGGTTATGGAGTAACAGGCACCAGAAACATGTGCGTGCTCAACTGTCACGCTACACCGCGTATACTGCGTACACCAGAGGCACTACTGAGTAGTAATCCTCGTTCTCAGGCTGTTCGATTGAGGGCACAAGCATCAGATGCCGTGCGTCTCACACCTGGAACCTCCATAGGCCTATCGACCAGCTTCTGTGAAGGTTGCTTCGACAACAACGGCCGTGGAAACGGCAAGAGCGGTTGCTGTAGCAGTAGGTCGAAGAAAACTATTTCTGCAGCAATGTCGTCTGCTGTTCCCAGTGCTAACCACGGTAGCAGGAGCGATGCCGCATCTGCATCTTCCTCTTCTTCTTCTGCTGCTGCTGCTACTGGCTCTGCTGCGGCTGATGCGGCTGTTGCCAGCACCAAGGGCACAGGGGGACCAGCAGTGTCGGAGGCAGTCATTGTGGGTGGAGGATTGGCCGGCTTCGCATTGGCTATCGGCCTCCGGAACCTTGGAATTGACGCGCAGGTGAGAGGCCTGGGAGTTGGGATAGCGCAGCGGTTCTGCTTACAAGTTTATCTTTGTGTCTACTAAAAAAGAATTGACTATTGGCCTCCGGAATATTGGGATCGACGCGCAGGTGAGTGAGCTGGGGTTTTGATCAGCATAACTTTATCTGGTTGTTGTACGTGGGTTTACTCTACTCGACTGCTGCTACAGCGGCAGCGCTACTGTGCCATCACCACTGCTACACTACCAGCACCATTGCTACATGTCATGCCATGCTTTAGGCGCATCATGCCATGCCATGCCATGTCAAGTGATGTACCATGTCTCAAAACCGGCGTGCATGTGTATGAGGCGCGCAGGGAGGTGGGAGGAGGGGAGGGCACCATCATCTCTCTCTTCCCAAAGGCTCAGCGAAGCCTCACACCGCCTTTCAAAACACGCCCCATAATTTGTTATTATCTCAAATCCTGCTTGCAGGTGTACGAGGCGCGCAAGGAGGTGGGAGGAGGGGAGGGCACCATCATCTCTCTCTTCCCCAACGGGCTCAGGGCGCTCAGCCGAATCGACCCTGCCATCATGCCCCAGGCATGTCGTTCGTGATAATAATGGCATGGTTGTGTGTGTCGGTGATGCTTGCATGCGTGCCTCCTCTGCCTCTTCCCCAACGGGCTCAGGGCGCTCAGCCGAATCGACCCTGCCATCGTGCCCCAGGCATGTGATTCGTGCTTGCAATGGCTGCATGTGATGTGAGAGCTGGTTGTGTTGTGTGTTTCAGGCATATCCTCAACATGCTGCTGATGAGCCTCCATGCTTCTCTAACGGGCTCAGGGTGCTCAATCGAATCGACCCCGCCATTGTGCCCCAGGCATGTCATGTCATGTCATGCCATGTCATGTTGATGCGTGCAGGCTGCCTGCACTGCAACATGCCGTAGTGAAGCAGGTGGTTTTCGAGAATTCTCACAAACCACGTGCAGGCTGCAGCATGCAATATTACCGTAGAGACTGCATGTGCGATGTTGATTGCATGTGCTATGTTTAATCGCATTTGCGATGTTTAATCGCATGTGCGATGTTTAATCGCATGTGCGATGTTTAATCGCATGTGCGATGTTTAATCGCATGTGAGATTGTTTTATTCCTGGGCGTCGCCAATCTCACCAGGCTCCGCCTCTCCTCCATTCCTCATTCTCTCCAGCTGATCCCCCTCGGTGTCACAGACCCCGCCAGCTTCCTCCTCTCCCCTGCGGGTGAAGTCATCGCCCCATGGGGCTACAGTGCCACCATGACCGCCCGCTTTGGCCTGCCCATGCTCTCCATCCGCTGGCGAGACGTGCTCGACGTGCTGCGCGGAATGCTGCCGAACGACGCTGTCCACACCGGCCACCGGCTCGTGAAGGTCGCGCAGAGGGAGGAGGCTGGAAGGAATGGGGAGGAGTCCGGTGCGGTGGAGAGGGATGGCGTGGCGGAGGGGGAAGGCATGGTGGAGTGCTTTTTCAGCACAGTTTCTTGCGGCAACGAGCATCTCGTGCGCGTGGAGGTGGGTGGGTTTCTGACTAGACTCTGAAAAGAGGGAGTGGATTGCTACTTTTACATCTGTTGACTGCCTTTGGTTTGTGTGGCAACGAGCATCTCGTGTGCGTGTGACTCGACTCAGTATAGGTTAGGGGAGATACGTACGGGTGGAATGCTTTTTCTCCACTGTTTCGTGTGGCAACGAGCACCGTGTTCGCGTTGCAATGCTTTCTCCCCGCTGCTTCATGTGGTAATGAGCATGTCGTGCACGTGGTGTAGAGGAGTTGGGGGCAGGGTAACCAAAAGGGCATGGTGCACACACTCACAGACAAAAAATCGAGGTGCAATGCCAGAAATATTCTAGGCTTACCTCTCTCTTGCCACTCCAACTCTTTCCAAAGCCACTTCCTCCCTTGGGCACTCTACTTACCACACTTTCCACCTCTTTCCACCGCACTTCATCCCTTCCTTTGTTCCCTCCTATTCGGCGGACCCCTCTGCTGCTGGGGCCAGACTGCATTCACTCAGATGCAGTGACTCTTGCTCCGCTACCACTCTCTTTCGTTGTGGCACCAATCTCCACCGCACTTCACCGTACGATTCTTTCCCTGAACCCCCTTATCGCCAGACCCCGCTGCTGCTGGGGGCAGACGGCATTCACTCGGAGGCACGGAAGCAGCTGCTGGGGGACGGAGTGAGTCCGCGGGACAACGGCAGAACCATCTGGAGGGCCATCATCGATAGTAGCCTCTGCCCCCACCCTGTATGTGCCTCTCTGCCCCCACCCTGTATATGTGCCTCTGCCCCCATCCCGTATGGGCCTCGCTGCCCCCACCCTCCGTACAAGCCTCTCGATGTGCATTCATTCACCTTCTCAGGTTCTATCCAACATGAGCTGTCTTGATTTCCATGCTGCCCTGTCCGTTCTCCTCCAGCCCCTCTCTCTTCCTTCACCTCGCTCTTCCTTATGCCCCCACCATCCGTACGAGCCTCTCGGTGTGCATTCATTTGCCGTCTCCTCTTCTATCCAACATGAGCTGTTTTGGTTATTTTTTAGTCGACTCAAAAATAGGCCCTTGCTGCTTTGTCCGTTCTCCTCTAGCCTCTCTCTTCCTTCACCTCGCTCTTCCTTATGCCCCGGCCTTCCTCAGCTCCTCAAGCCCCGGCACATCTTAGCCATGGTGGGGCCTGGCCGCACAGCAACCATCTCCGACGCCGCAACAGGGAGGCAGGCTGTTTCTTTAACCTTACCATGGTGGGCCCCACCATCTCCGATGCCGCAACAGGCAGACAAGCAGGCAAACACGCATGCTCCACTGGGCCGTCCTCAATCCTGTTTACAACCCCTCCTCATTCCTTATCACCTGACTTCGCCCTACTTCTCTCCTCTCAGCTTCTCCAGCCGCGACACATCTTGGCCATGGTGGGACCTGGCCGCGCAGCAACCATCTCTGATGCCACAGCAGGCAGGCAGCAGGCTCTACTGGGAATCCTATCTAGAACCCCTGCTCATTCTTCATTGTTCCTCTTTCCGCCTCTCTCGTTCTCCCTTCTGTTCACACCTCGCAGCTCCTCAAGCCGCGACACATCTTGGCCATGGTGGGCCCCGGCCGCACAGCAACCATCTCCGACACTGCAGCAGGCAGGATGGCTGTTGGTTTAACCCCTCAGAAATAACCCTGCTAGATTCTCACCCTCCCTCCTCCCCATCCCACAGCTCCTCAAGCCCCGGCATATCCTGGCCATGGTAGGCCCTGGCCGCACAGCAACCATCTCAGACGCTGCATCAGGCAGGCTCTACTGGGCGTTCACGCTCGTTGATTCCGCCGATCCGACGGTCAGCAGCGCGCGGTCCAGCGGGGGGGAGGAGGCGAGGGGGAAGATTCTGCGGGCGTTTGAGGGGTGGGATGTGGTGACTCAGCTGGTCAAGGCCACTCCCCCCGACCTCATTCTCGAGCGCCGCGTGCTCGACCTCCCGCCCCTGCCCTTCTGGGTCGAAGGCCGCACCGCTCTCCTCGGAGGTACGCTATTAGTTTTGAGACGTCTCAAAATTCGCGTGCTCGACCTCCCGTCCCTTCCCTTCTGGGTCCAAGGGAGGGCGACTCTCCTAGGAGGTACAGCCCGCCTTCAGTGCACTACCCTCTGCCTTCCCTGCATTTCATTTCTGCCTGCCTGAATCGGCCACTGTCTGTCCAGAAGCAGCGTATGCAGTGAGGCAACACTGGGAAAGAAAACCATGCTTCCTCTGCTTGTGTTTCCTTTCAATATCTCCCCTCCCTTCCTTTTTCGGCATTTCCCTCGGCATGTGTTCCCTTTCGATATCCACTCTGCCTTTTTTTCACCCTCCTGGCTGGGGCCTATCTCCATTTGCTCATGTTTCGGCTGTATATCTGCTTTGCCTTCCAATCGGTTGCCTTATCTGTCCAGATGCGGCGCATGCAGTGACGCCAGCGCTGGGGCAGGGTGCTAATATGGCGTTTGAGGATGCGGCTCAGCTGGTGGAGTGCCTCCGGGTGCACTCCCATGCCAGGTGGGTTGTCAGGTTGGTTTTCAGGTGGGTTGTCAGGTGGGTTGTCAGGTGGGCGCACCCCCATGCCAGGTTGGTTGTTGTCAGGCGGGTTGTCGGGTAGGCACAATCACATGCCATTTGGTTGTTGGTGCATTAGGCGCTGGGTTGCAGGTGACGTGATATTTCAATATCATCATTCCCTGTACTGCCAAAAGATATACGAGGAAGAGAATATGAAGTGCTCTCCTCCACATGCGTCCCACCCCTCTCTCTGCAGTGACGCCTTACTCTCCTTCCAGTCCATCCGCATGCCGCGGGTGCAAGCCGTGGTGTCACAGAACGTTGCATCCTCCAAGAAGATATACGAGGATGAAGAAGAGGAGGGAAAAGAGAGGGAGAGCAGCAAGGGAACTGAGGCAGGAGCAGGTGCAACAACGGCAGGAAAGGGAGGGGGAGAAGATTCTGAATTATATCATTACCTGTACTCCTATGATACAGTTCCTCTTGACAGTTCTTCTTGAATGGTCTGGTCTTGAAGGGTCCTTGAGGGGTTTTAGCTCCATGCATGCATGTACCCATATGATTTACCATAGTTTCTCTTATAATGACACGTTTGTTAGCAAGGGTCTAAAGAACTAACTTAGTAGGAAGAATGATAGAATTGGGGTAAGGGGTGAGGGGTACAAGAAGGACATCGAGAGTATTTTGTACAGCCTAGATAACCTATATTACATAATTTGACAAAGGGCACATTACTGCACAACACTTCAAAAATCCTCCTCCCAAACCTCAATGTCATAACCATCCTAGTCAGGATCACCCGGCACAACACTCGCAACATCCTACTCCAAAACTACAATGTCATAACCGTACAGCTCCTCATCAGGGTCACGCCCCTCTCGTGCCGCCGCTGCAGCTGATGCCGTCTGTACCTCTTCAATCTTTGGCGCTGCTTTCGCCTCACTTCCATCACCACCTGCTGCATCCTTATCTTTCCCCTCTTTCTCCTTGTCAAACACCTTCTTTGTTTGGGCAGTGTTCCGTGCTGACACTGCTTGCACTCGTGACATGCGGATGGATTGGAAGGAGCTACGAGCATCACTGGGAGGGGGCAGGAGAAGGGGAAGGGGGATGGGAAAGGGTGGGGATGAATGTGCGGTTGTGTTTTAGGGCGTTCCAAATACCCACCCGTGAGCGGAGGGATTGGAAAGAGTGAAGAACTTCACACCTGAACATGCAAAAACATTCCTGTGGTCCAATACAAATTTCTACACCTATGGGATTGTTTTGTAACAACAGGGGGAGACGGTTTTTTTTTTTTTTTTTTTTAACGCCTGCGAGTGAACAATACAAGTTAATCACCTGACAAGCACCCACCTGACAAGCGAGTTTGCCCGGAGGCACTCCACCAGCTGAGCCGCATCCTCAAACGCCAGATTGCCTCCCTGCCCCAACGCTGGCGTCACTGCATGCGCCGCATCTGGACACACGGGAGGGTAGAGGGCAGAGGGAAATGCGGGGAGGGCAGAGGGCAAGCAGGAGTGGAATCAAGAACCAAGCAGTTGACCTCTGCCTGTGCACTTGAGCACGGTACCACAGAAAACGGGGAATACAAGTGGAAGAGTTGTTCCCATGTACATAACAAGCGACACATGACATAACAAGCCACACATGACATAACAAGCGACACATGACATAACAAGCCACACATGACATAACAAGCGACACATGACATAACAAGCAGCACATGACATAACAAGCCACACATGACATAACAAGCGACACATGACATAACAAGCCGCACATGACATAACAAGCGACACATGACATAACAAGCCACACATGACATAACAAGCGACACATGACATAACAAGCCACACATGACATAACAAGCGACACATGACATAACAAGCCACACATGACATAACAAGCGACACATGACATAACAAGCCACACATGACATAAGCGACACATGACATAACAAGCCACACATGACATAACAAGCGACACATGACATAACAAGCCATACATGACATAACAAGCCACACATGACATAACAAGCGACACATGACATAACAAGCGACACATGACATAACAAGCGACACATGACATAACAAGCGACACATGACATAACAAGCCACACATGACATAACAAGCCACACATGACATAACAAGCCACACATGACATAACAAGCCACACATGACATAAAAAGCCACACATGACATAACAAGCGACACATGACATAACAAGCCACACATGACATAAGCGACACATGACATAACAAGCCACACATGACATAACAAGCGACACATGACATAACAAGCCACACATGACATAACAAACCACACATGACATAACAAGCGACACATGACATAACAAGCCACACATGACATAACAAGCCACACATGACATAACAAGACACACATGACATAACAAGCGACACATGACATAACCAGCCACACATGACATGACAAGCCACACGCCATCACCACTGCAGTACCTCCCAGGAGAACCATACCTCCCGTGAGAGCCGTACCTCCCATGAGCGCTACCCTCCCATGTACCCAGAAGGGCAGGGGCGGGAGGTCGAGCACACGACTCTCGCGAATGAGCTCAGGAGAAGTGGCCTTCACCAGCTTCTCCACCGCATCCCACCCCTCAAAAGCCCGCAGAATTTTCTCCCTCGCCTCCTCCCCCCCACTGGACGGCGCGCTGCTGACCGTCGGATCGGCGGAATCAACGAGCGCGAGCGACCAGTAGAGCCTTCCGGCTCCAGCATCGCCAGTGGTTGCAGTGCGGTCGACACCGATTATGGTGTTTACCTGACGTGGCTGCACCATCTGCATGTTGGGAAGAGAAGGGAAGGTGGAGTCGTGTTTTGAGTCGACTCAATGCACTTTAGGTGGGAGGAGCAAGTACTGGGTGGGAGTAGAGAGGGACACAGCGGGTGGGAGCAGAGAGGCACACAGGGTGTGGGAGCAGAGAGGCACACAGGGTGTGGGAGCAGAGAGGCACACAGCGGGTGGGAGTAGAGAGGGACACAGCGGGTGGGAGCAGAGAGGCACACAGGGTGTGGGAGCAGAGAGGCACATAGGGTGGGGGAAGAGGGGCAGATACGGGGTGCAGGCAGAGGGGACACAACGGGTAGGGGGGCACGCACTGGGTGGGGGCAGAGGGAGCTGTCGATGATGGCCCTCCAATGGGTTCTGCCGTTGTCCCGTGCACTCACTCCCTCGCCTGCTGTCCCCACCAGCACCTGTTTCCGTGCCTCCGAGTGAATGCCGTCTGCTCCCAGCAGCAGCGGGGTCTGGCGAATGGGGAGGTTCAGGGAAAGAAATGCCAGTCAAGTGCGGTGGAGAGAGGTACTAGTAGTGGAAAGAGGTACTAGTAGGTACCATACCATGACGAGGGAGAGAGCATGGGAGAGCACGAGAGGGTGTCCGTGTGTGAACGCCAGCAGCAAAGGGGATTGGCGGACGGGAGGGAACAAAAGTAGGGGTGAAGCACGGTGGAAAGGGGTATGACGAGGCATAGAGTGGTTGCCGTCTGCACCTAGCAGGAGCAGACGCATGGCGGACGGGAGAGAAGAAAAAGAGGAGGTAGCAGTCCCACGGCTCTTGATCGTGTGATCAAAAGAGAGTGTCGTTGAGAGTTCTCGAGAACTCTCGTGATCGTGTGATTAATACATTTCTTGCCTTGCCACCTCTCTCCCTCCCCCCCACTCCCCCACTCCGTCTCCCCCCCCATCCCACCCTTCACACAAAACCATCCCTCACCTTCCTCCAGCGGTCCGGGTATTAGATCCGAGCGAGTACAGACATGCGCGTGGATATATAGCATGCATCTCCGCATCTAACCCCTCCCCACATCCTACTCACTCTCATGCTCCATCTAAGGGAGCTCCAGTGCTGGCTCCAGGATGGCAAGGCAGTCCCCAAGGGACATGCCTTCGCCCGGTACCCCCACAGGTGGGTTTTCCACCTGAGCCGCGAAATTACATTTCGTCATGAAGCTCACCTTCCTCCTCTGCTCACCTCCACCTCCAGCAACCGCTCTTCACCGCCGGAAATCTGTTCAAAAACGCATTTCACCGAGCCAATCCTGGTGCCTGCGCCACTTCCCTCACTGCCCCCTTCCTCTTTATGGTCCTCCTCTCCCTGCGTAAACCCCACGAGCCTGTGCCCAGCATGGACGGCATCGTTTGGCAGCATCCCGAGCAACACGTCGAGCACCTCTTGCCAGCGGATGTTCAGCAGGGGGAATCCAAAGCGGGCAGTCATGTTGGACCCGAGGTTCCACTGAAAAAGAATATCGCCGGTTGGAGAGCGGCCGAGAATGGTGGGGTCAGGTACTCCTCGAGATATGAGCTGAGGGAAAGAGGAGATGGAAGGGAATGGGGGAAAGACAGGAGGCAAGCAACGGTATTACCAACACATGCACGCATCACCAACAAATGTCGGCATCACCATCACATGCACGCAGCGCAATCACATGCAGCAATCACCATCACATGCAGCAATCACCATCACATGCAGAAATTACTCTCACACATAGCAATCGTCATCACATGCAGCCACACCCATCACATGCCTGGGGCACAATGGCAGGGTCAATTCGGAGTGCCCTGAGCCCGTTGGGTAAGAGAGGGAGCATGCATGCGACTGCTACTCACTATCCCATGAAAGCATCACCGACACACACACCACACCCATCACATGCCTGGGGCACAATGGCAGGGTCGATTCTGTTGAGCGCCCTGAGTCCGTTGGGATAGAGAGTGATGAGGGTTCCCTCGCCTACCACCCCGTCCCGTGCCTCGTATACCTGCACGTGGGGATGTGGCATGATACATGGTATGTGGCATTAGAAATGGGGCATGTCATGTGGCATAAAGAATGAGGCATGGCATGTTGGAATGGCTTTCGGGACATCTCAAAAGCTCTCCCCTCGCACCTCATCGCATCCCTCGTACACCTGGATTTGGGAATATGGCTCAGGTGTAGCATGGGCTGGCGTGCGGCATGGCACGGAATGGCATGGCATGGCATGTCATGGCATGAAATGGCATGGCATCGCAGGGCATGACATGTGAAACTCAATTCTTCATGTTGTCGCATGGATGGTGTGTAGAGCCTAAAATGCCATGAGGCGACATACACGGATAAGTACGTAACACAGACATTTCCATCTGCAATCACAGCGCACGACCAGAAACATGATGACATGTTAGATGCAATGGTGACATACATGTTTTAAGACGTCTCGTGCATACATGTTTCATGGAACAACCGACCAGCCTGCATGCATGTCAAGCATGATTTCTAAATTGCATTGTGCAGGCACAATGGGAATACAGTAAGGATCAAGTTTCAGAAACAGGACTGATATGGTAACTATGCATCATGATGAAAAGCTATTCACATCATAATTTCAACAATCTTAGCTGATTCTCACATTTGTTTTTCCTGATTTCCAGCGTTTTTTCCTGATTCGACCCCTCTTACCTATTGGTTCCAGCTTCGAGGCAACACCCCACCTGCGCGTCAATCCCAATGTTCCGGAGGCCAATAGCAGTTGCGAGGCCGGCCAATCCTCCACCCACAATGACCGCCTCCGACACTGCTGGCCCACCTGTGCCGTTGCTGCTCGCCGAAGCAGCAGGAGAAGACGCAGAGGCAGCAACACCCCTCCAATAGCCTCTAAGTTCAAAATTGAGAGTCCCAGACGGCCTCGCCGCAAAAAAACGTCTTCGTAAGAGGCTGCTGTCGCTGCTGCTGAAGCTTTTGTTGATGCTGCCAGAACCACGGCACTCAGCATGTGAGGCTTGATTCTTGAAACGAATCAGCTGATAATGCAATTTCCTGCTCAGAGATGGTGACATTGTTTTCCGCGGGTCAACGAGATGGACGGTTGAGATGCGTGTTGCTTCCGGAACGGCCGACGCGATGTGCGACATGGCCGCCATGATACTACCGGAGCGTTCGATTACGACGCTGCCACCAAAAACTGAAGCCGTTCGTTTCGGTTACTAAAAAGTAAGAACGACTACACAGTCACACTGACTGTTGAGGAGGTAGATTGTAGAAATTGAGGGCTTGCGGAAGCTCTGGAATGCCGAACCTGAATCCATGGCATCTCGCATACCAAATGGTGGAAGGCTCGATAAGGAAGTGACGTTCTCGAGCCGAGCTGGCATCTGAACCGGCGGGATGGCTGGATTCCGTTTTGTTCGCGATTGCAGTTTCCATTCATCTCGTCCTTCCATTTGGGAGCAGGACGAATCACAAGCACATAGATAAACTAGCACATTGCTGGGTGGGACCTGAAAAGTCACACCTGGTTCTTGTGAAGTCGAACCAAACCAAGGACAACAACAAGTGAAGAGCCTGTGTGAACCGGTGCTTGGCTCAAAGTGGCTGGCTCTTCGAAGTTCAAGCACTTTTCACCTTGGCTGTGGGGTGTGACTTGCCTCGGGAAAC